ACTGAACCTTGGGCTCCATCACCCAGATAGACAGGTTCATGGGGTGGGTGTGTAAGGGAAGAAAAGGAGCCCAGGCCCAGAACAAGGAAAAATTGTACAGTCTAGAGGGGTGTGTGTGTGTGTGTGTGTGTGTGTGTTGTGTTACACATGTGGTAATAGGGAAACCTGTGATTGGGTGACGCAACACCCACTAGCTGGAGTAGAACCTGGGCTTATAAAGAGAGGAGCTGATCAAGATCTGAGGACTTTCAGATGGTGGAGGCTTTGCTTGCAGCTGGGTAATCCAGGAGGGCTTCCTAGAGGAGGAGTTCTGGTGATGGGCCTTGAGGAATGGGTAAGATTGAGCTAATAGACAGGAAAGCCAGAGGACAGAGGCCCAAGTACAGGAGAGATCACTAGGGAAGGCTTCAGACAGCGAGTGTTTCATTGGGGAACTAGCTGCTGTGGTCTGGGGGGGTAGAATGTGGAGCTGGAGATGGGAGCGGGGTGGGGGGGAGGTAGAACAAGAGGCAGGTTGGAGTCATCCTTTCTGGCCCCCATTCAGATGTATTCCCTGCATCCCCCAAATCATCTGGTGGCCTGGTCTCCAAAAGATGCCATGGAGATGTGTCCCAGGAGGAATCCTAACTAAGGTTCATTATCTGAGCTTCAGTTTCCCCATCGGTAAAGAAAAGGCCCCAGTGACTTCCCTGGCAGGATAGTGGGATGATGCCCCATGACCCAGAAATGGCATCAGAGGAGGGGTGGGAAAGCCAACCCTGGATACCTCACCACCATGCCCCTAAACAGGGGCTCTGATGCCTCTCTCGTGCAGAGCTGGAGCAGACCTGAGCACTGTGCAGGCCCTGGCAGTGTGCCGCCTTGAACCACGGGCAGCTTGCCTGCCCACTGGCCCGCCCACCTGCCAGCCCACCCCTTGTCCTGCATTAAGCAATCTCCATTATCGCAAATGCCTGGCATTTTTGCCTGGTAATTACGGCTCCCACAGCTCTGTGAAGATTAGAGTATGCTTAGAGAGTAGGGAGGACTTTGCTGGCTGGAGAGGAATACCTGCAAAGAGACCCGGGAGCCTGATTGCCTCCTGCAAGTTTCAGGACCTGGGAAGCACTCAGTGGCCAGCAAGGACCGCCCAAGGGCCTTCTGTGGCAGAGGCCATCAGTCTTTCACCCCCAGGCTCTCCTCGCCTCGCCACTGCGACTGCCTATCCAGGGAGCGTCACACAGCCCTTCCTGGGCTCCTGCGCTGCCCCCACACATTTCCCTGCCTCAGAGAGTCTGAGGCAGGGGTCTGAGCAGCCCTCATCCCAGGCCAGCCCGCAAAAACCGCACCACTCTGGAGGTTAATCCTCCATGCTCAGTCGCCCCCCACCCCCCGCAGGGGACTAGAGACCTCACGGACATTAATGGCCTCTCAACTCTCACTGTCCCTTTCCTTTGGAATGACCTCCTATCCAGTTCTCTACTCGTCAAAACCCAGCCTGTCCTTCAAGGCCCAGGTGCGATGCCATATCCTCCAAGGAGCCTTTGCCAGCCTGTCCTGGAAATACTAATAGCAAATAAGTACCAAGTCCCCCTGGCATGCCATGCCCTCTTCCACACGCTCCACAGCATATTGCCTCCCCAGTCCTCGTGCCAGCCCTAGCAGGTGGTCATTTACAGTTGAGGAAACTGAGGCCCTCACGTAGGCAAGGAGCCAAGCAGTGAGGACTAAACCTGGGCCCTCTTGTCCTGAGGCAGCAGCTCCCTCAGCACACAGACACTGACGCCGAAGCCGACCGGACACCGACTTCTCTCCTGCAGGCAGCATTCCTCGGGGATGCTTTGTCCTGGGCACGGCTCTGCCTCTCCACAGCCTCCCTACAAAACAGCAAGCTGCAGAACTTCTCAACTTCAACCTGACTCACCAAGGACTTTGTTAAAATGCAGGCCCTGATTTGGCAGGGCTGGGGTGGGGCCTGAGAGTCTGCATTTCTAAACCCTCAGGTGTGACCAGTGCCAAGCAGGTCTAAGCACGCATGCTGGGTAGGGGGGTTAGGGTTTAGGTTAGGACAGGAAAGTCCTCCCGTGGTCACAGAGGCTCAGCAGGTCTATGGCCTGTGGGAGCCACTCTAAGCCCCGCCCTTCACTGCTCCCACCTTTCAGGAGCTGGGGTCACAGCTTCCCTCTTTGACCTTTGGTGCTCCAGACTTTCCTTCCAACTTAGACACAGAGACACAGGGAGCAGTCGGGGTTCTGGATGCACCCTCCTTACCATATCACCCAACACTCCTCCAAGCCCTGGCTCAGTGTTGCCCCTGGGGAATTCTTGCCATTCTTCTAGAAACTTCTCCTGACCTTTGCAGTCCCATTAGAACTTACAGAGAGTGGTACAGATGGCTCTACTAATGTTGGCCCATCATCACCCGTGGAGGAGGTGCGAAAGGTTCTGAGGCTACACTGGATACACCATCAGCTCCTGAGGACGCCTATGGAGAGAAGCACCATGCTGAGGCCCCCTGTTCCACACCATGGGGCGAGAGGGAGTTGCCACTTCTCTCCTCTTGAGGAAGGCTCCAAGAAAACCACTTGAAAACATGGGTGTAGGTTACATGCAGGGATCGCCCCGACTTCTACCTGGGGATGCTGAGATGCCTCTGCTTCGGATGGCCTGCTAGGCAGACACACCAGGCCTAGGTGGGAAAGAACTCCATAGTGGGGGGCGGGGAGGGATGGGGGAGACGTGTTCCATGGTTCAAATGTGGACCCTGTGAAAGAAGACTTATAAAAAGGGAACGGGGGAGTTGGCGCTGCCAGACACAGGGGGCAGGCAAGGGTTGGAGCCCAAGCCCAGCAGCGGCCTTGTCCCCTGACTCCCTAGGGATGTCTCCCACATAGGAGTGGGGGCAGGAGAACGCCCCATTGATGAGTGTGGAATCAAGTCTTACGTTAGACTAGTCTTGCCACTCACACTATGAAAGAGTAGTGGAGTTCTTCTCTTTCATCCAGGGGCTAAGAAAAAGTTAAGACAGAGTTCAATGGGCAATAACAAGAAAGAATAAAGCTACTTTCTGCCCGCACCTTATTGAGGGGCGCATGCTCAATAAACTGGCACCCCTGGATGGCGCAGCCAGGTCCAGGTTCAGCCCTGGGGAGGTCACTAAACTTGAGGACGTGATTCTTAACCTTTCTGGGGGCAGCAGGAGAGGTATTCTTCCAAGTTTGAGGCCACAGGGGAGGACATAGCCCCTCTTTCCAGAAAATGACACACATGAACACGCTCACAAAGTTTTCAATTTGGGGGGCTCCGGACCTTCTGAAGCCTAACCACAGTCCCCCCAGTGAATATGCTCCACGTTGGGGTCCCCCTCTGCCAAGGGGCCTCGGCTGAGCCTCATTCTTGCGGGCTTGGCGGTAGCGTCGGGGTTCATTCTTGCTTCCGGGTCTGGGAGAAAGTGGAGCAGGGCTTAGCTCCCCTTCCTTTCCAGGAAACCCCACGGAAGGGGCATCAAACTGCACATGTACCTGTGACTTGTCTTCTAGAAAAGTGCGTTTGCAATTTGTTGGAACTGTTCTGCTCAAGCAAAGCTGAGACTATTTTGATTTCGGCAGTTCTGCCAATGGGACACTGGTCAGGAGGTTAACTGAGTTTCATTGAAAAGACACACTTTTCCTCCCTGGGCCGATAAACAAGTCTCCCACAGGGAAACCGACTTCCTCTGCCCAGGCACTCGGCTGAAGGGGCCTGTCTCTAGCCAAGGAAAACAAATGCATGAACGTTGCAGGGACATATAGGAAGCATTTCTGCGGGGCGCCTGCTGTGAATGGCCATTGGCGTTTACACAGCAAATCCCGAGGGGCGGCCGCACAGCCAGGACAAAACCTCTCACTTCCCCGGCGGCTCCTCCCTGCCTCTCAGGACTAGGACTCGCGTGCCCAATCCACAATGCACAAAACGGGCTCTTAGTTATCACCATCACATGCCAGTTTTGACTCCGCCTGCCTGGCACCTGAGGAGGAGGGGTTTCCTTTTAGCCAAGACTGTAGAAAGATCACAGCCCCGGCTGCTAGTTTCCTGAGCCGAGAGACACCAGGAGGCCAGCCAGGCTGCGGTCCGGGCCAGGACAGCCAAGGGAGGGACGGCGGTCAACACCCACCTCTGCGGCCACACGCAGAGCAGCGGCCCAGGCATCAGCGGGACGCTGCAGAGGCGGGCAGAGGACGGGGCTCCCAAAGACTCGCCCCTACGTCTCCCACAGCTTTTCAAGTGGCAGCCTCGTGACGGAGGCTCCCCCGGGTGGGTGCTGGGCTTCTGGGCATCCCCCGCCCCCCCACCCGCACTGGAGGGGGCCATGGTATGCCGTCCTTCACGGTGTTTTCGACCCAACTCTGACTCTCCCTTACCAGCCTCCCATTGCATCTCGACACTTCCTCAAAAAAAATTCCTTTTTGAAATCAGTAAGATCTAAAGTAATAGACTGAAGGAGGCTCCAACTGTACAATTTTCCTCCCTGAGTCACCATGGACTTTTTCCCGTTGCAGCCTCTCCCGTCCTTACTCTGCACTGCAAGGTTCTCCGCAGGCTCTCCCCGCCTGCCCTGTGGCAGCTACATGGGGAACACCCAGTGCCTCTGCTTATATACCATGGCACTGCCCTCTGTGACTGCAAGGTTCCTCTTCAGAAGGTTCTTTCTCCCATATCCACTTGGCCAGGTCCAGCCTACCCTTCAGGTCCACCCTTCAGGGCCTTGCAGGGATCTAAGCCTGCCCTGAGCTGGGCGCCCTGAGGGCCGAGTTAGACAGCACAGCTCACAGGGCCTGCTCAGCAGAAGTCAGGTGGACCAGCCTGGGACACCACTGGACCAGGAGGAGTTATGTACCTGCTAAGACCCCCCTGTCCGTGACTCCCCAGGTTAAGGCAGGTCTTCCGGCCTCTGGGATTCTCTGCTTTCATCATCCCCAGCCCAGACCTCTACTCCCTTCACACCAACAGAATAAATGAGTCTTGGCCCTTGGTGTGGGTTTGAATCCTGCTTTATAGAAATCCAACTACCAGAAATAAGGATTTCCTGGCCGACCGTATCGGAGTTCCCTGGCCACCCCCAGGGTCACCGGACCAACCATATCAGACGTTTAGCGAGGGATGGCGCTTTGAGGACAGAGGGCGGGACCCAGACCCGAGGTGGCAGAGGCCAGAGGTCTCCCGCCAGGCCCTGGCAGTCACAGCTCCACCAGGAGTGAGTGACTCGGTAGTAGCCAGTGCCCTCATCACAGTCCTGGGTGGACCCTTCATAGAAGGGGCAGAGAGGTTCTGGATACTTCTGCAACAGTTCTGGCCCAGGTCAGGGTGACGCTCTTCCCGGAGATTTGTCCCTGAGGCCTGGGGCTCAGCTGTCACCGCATGATGAGTGGTGGAGCCACAGGGCTTACCCACAGGAAGGGTCACAGGATGGGGTCTGAGCCGTTCCAGTTCACTGATGCCCCCTTCCACCTAAGGAGAGTTGTAACAGAGAGAGAGAGAGAAGAGTTATCGCTGTAGAGGCCCACACAGCCATGAGGAGTGCAGGTCCACCCTTCTCTCCACACTCCCCGCCACCCCACCAACCCACACACGAAGCCCTGGCAAAACACATACATCTAGGGCCCAGGAGAGCAAGGGAGGGGACTGAAGAAGGGTGGGTTACTCATTCACTCATCTATTTATGCCCCAGTGTTCACTGAACACCCTCTCCGTGTCTGGTACAGAGGGAACCTTGTTGAGGTGATCGTCACACATGCGAATACAGACACTTTCCAGGAGGCTGATGGTGGCACGTTAAGAACACCTGCTAAGACCTGCCTTTAGAATCCTGGCTGTTCAGGGTGCAGAAGGAGGCTTTCTGGAGCCCAGATGGACAGGGAGAGGTGGGTAGCAAAGGTTGGGGGTGCTGCATGGGACCGGGAGGCCTTTTAAGGACTCTGGACTTTGCTTTAAGAGTCACAGGAAGCAAGTGAAGAGCTGTGAGAGCTCCATAAAATAGGAATTTGTGGTTTCTTTTAAATTACTTTATGAAGCCTTCCGAAGATCTGAGTATAATTAAATGGCAGTTTATTATATATGTAAATTATCTGTACATATAATTTATCAGAATTAGATAAATCTAATAGTTCAATTCCAAAATAAAAGCTATTATGAGTAATACGACAAAATTTTCCAACACATTGTTAACACATGGCACTTAGTTTCTAAAAAAAACGCAAAGGAGTCATTAAAGCACAAGGGATATTTCTATAACATCTAGACCTCGGTATAGTGTACACCCCAAAGATATCTCAAGAGCAGCACTAGGATGTGGAGTCTGAGGCTGGGGTTTAGCAGGGCTTTGCATGATGTGGTGTTTGGAGAGGGAACAATTTCAAAACCTGAAGGTTTTTCTTCCGGACTGGAGTCAAAATCCTAAGTGTGTCAGGGGAGGAAAGAAGGGAAATTTCTCTCTCTTCAATTGCACACGTGCATGAGAAAGTCCAATATCCCTGAGACTTGAACTGTGACAAGGACAGAGGGACCGGGTTCTCCAGAGGAAGGCGGTGGCGCTTCCCAGTTGAGTGACTGCATATGTAAGCATATGGAAGCTTGGCGTCCACCCAACATCCTCCAATTTCATGAAAAGCATCAACTCCCATTGCATTTCTTCCTCCTCCTTCCTTAGACTCCTGTCCTTTGCCTTTCTTCACATCTGCACCTTACTTGACCTGCACCTTGACTTGCCACAGCTGAGTCTCTGACTTTTCGGTCGAGAGGGGCAGCCTTCCGGGGCAGTAGCATTCATATCCATTCTGCTCTTAAACAGTCCTCTCGATTACAGCAAGTTCTTGGTATCCGAAAGACCAGATTTTGCTTGTTGAATACTTTGCACCATTCCACCCCACTTCAAATGAGCAAAGAGAGGTCTTGCCATTTGAAGGAAAAATTTTAGCAGTAATTCTGTGCTTTTTGCTATCACAGAAAGTTTTAGTGCAGATGACGACAATTGCATTTAGCTTGTTTTGAAACAATTAACAGTTGCATTTTCCTCCTAGTTCCACCAAGGGCACTCTGAGAATAGATCTTCTGGAACCACTGGAGTGTTCATAACAGCCTAGACGCAAGGCACAGCCCTGCCCTATATCATTCATGGTGACTGACATCCCAGGAAATCTTTATCTGGCACATGCATGAATGCTGAATTGTATCTTCTTGTTAAAACATTGGGGATAAAAGACTGAGGTGGGTGGATTCCTGCTCAGCCAGGAATGTTACACTGTTTTAGGAGATTGGTCCTTCCAAAATTAGCTGCATCTTGTCTTCGGTACAATTTGGCAATGTTACATGCTGCTGAAAGATCTCATTCCAAATGGGCTTGTATGGTCTTTTGGCAACCCATCCTTTTTTTTTTTTTTTTTTTCTGTGTGAAAGTCTACAACAGATCATTTCACCATTGAACCATTTTATTTCTGGGATCTTTCTGATTATAAACTCAGAAGCAGGAGTAGGTTTGCAAAAAGAGCTTGCACACATTTCTAGAAAAGGCCATTTCTCAAGAGCAATTATGGGAGGAACTATCTCAGTGAGATCCATTCCAAGCCTAACCTGTGACAAGAGACTATTTCATATGACTATCTGACAAGACGGATGGTGGGTGTAGTCACACATCACCCATCACTCGTCTTGTCAGATAGTCATATGAAATAGTCAGCATCACCTGTCCCACTGGATGTGGGAAAATTGATTCTGTGGTATCTGGGTACTTGTGACTATTTCGTGACTGTGGGATGACAAGGTAGAGGCAGACGCAGAAGATCTGCTAGGTCCTTGGGGTTGAGCCATTTTGATGGATTCAGCAGCATCAGCACTGCCGACACAGACCCCCTAGGACTGCTTCTGGAGACGACTTGACATGGCTGGGAGAGATCAGGCTGCTCCGAGGTGGGAGTGTCCCCCAGCTGCACTGTTTGGTAGCAGAGCCTGCTGTGTCCCAGCCTAGCCGACAGGTGACAGGTCCGGTAGGCGGCGGCAAAGTCACAGGCAGTTCTGACTCGCAGGAGGGAGCGGGTGAGACGGGCCGGGGAGGCGCTCACTGTGTTGGTCACAGGTTCCAAGAAACGAGGCCCATCCACTGCACCTACTGGGTTAACAGTACTTTAGTGACCCGCGGCAACACAACCGAGGGCTTAATGGACGGTTCCATGCAACTTGAGAATTTCAGTTTTCTTTCTCTGTTCATCATCTTTACACTTTTGAAGCTTGCCATTAAAAAGCTTTTACTGTTCTATTAAGATCTGTAGGTAAACATTAGTTTGTGTTTCTTACCAAGATCTTGGACACCAGGGACTCCCGAGGGTAGCAGCAGCGGGGAGGGGTGTGACGTTCCCGCCCACAGCCTGGCTCCACTAGGCATCAGGAGCCAGATTACAGAGGAAAATTACGGCCCAGACCTGTGTGGTTTCTTACCCCAGTGATAGAGAGAATGCGGGGAGGAGTGAGAAATAGACTTCCTGGACCCCTGTAAGACCCACCCCCAGCCTGGCCCTTGTCCACCTCTCCTTCCCTCCTAGGCTTCAGCCTCGCACCTGACTGGCAGAGGAAGGTGCCTCCTAGGAGCGCCCAATCTGCAAACCTCTCAGATTCTGGTGAAAACAGCTTCAGTACAGGAGTCAGGGCTAGACATCCAAGTCACACCAAAAACCACTGAGTCTTAGGGTCAGGCTGTGGGGTTTATGCTGAACTTTGAGGCATTTTACAGAGATAATGAACCCACCCATTCTGGCCAACTGGTGCCAAGGAGGGGAGAATGCTGGAAGCGCCAGAGAGAAGCAGCTCCTCACTTCGGAAGAAAGTCAAGGCAGAGCCATTTTAAAAAGGGAAAGAAAGGGCTTGCACACAGGGACTACACAGGGGATAAATGGCTCCCCGGGAGAAATGGTTCCTCAGTAGGAATTGTTCTGCAAATCCCTGAGTCAAAATTATAAGGAGAACGCTGACCCTAGCAATATGGGACCGACAGAGTAAGGGATGGAGGCAGTACGTCAGCATCAAAGCTCCCTCACTCATCCAGGGCTAATTCCGGGAGGGGCTGACTGAGAGTGTGAGTTTAGAGCAGGGCTTCTCAACCTAGGGGCTGTTGACATCTGAGTCTGGATAATTCTTTTGTGCTTTCCTGTGACTTCATTGTGGGGTGTTAAGGGGCCTTCCTCCCACCCCGCCTCATCCCCAACCCCCGGCCATCCATGACAATTAGAAGTGTACCCAGATATTGCCAGATCTCACCTGGGACTCAAGATTGTTCCCAGCTGAGCACCAATGGCTTCAAGTTTTGAGCTCAGTGAAGATGCAGGACCCTGAAGCTCCCGGGGGACTCAGATGCACGGAGAGGTGCCACCTCACAGCCACAGATGAGGACCTTCCCCCAGAGGCCATCAGCACACAGCTCACATGTTACCTGCCTCAACATATTTTCAGCGTTGATGGCTCTGGAGTACTTCATGGGGGAAAGATGCCTGAGAGTTTACCGCCAAGAAGAAGACAGGCTTGGCTTTGAAGCCCCCAGAGCTGACTGGTAGATATTCAGCCCAGAAGTCCTCTATACACTTTGGCAAGTAGGCTGGTATTCAAGTTTCCTTTCCTGTGTCCCAGCCACTGGGGGCCAGAGTGACTCTGGAATGAGTCCATGGGCTGTCACATCCATGGCCCTGGCCTAGGCTTGCCCCGCCTGGATTTCCAGCCTCCATCCCAGACCTCTGCATCCAAGAGTCCTCCCCTTCCAGAAGTGCTGTCTGATCCCACACTGCCTGGGGGGTCCTTCCACAGCACCCTTCCCAGCACTCTCTGGCCATGTTGCCATGAGTTCTCCCTCCCTTCTAGACCTAGGACCTTCAAAGGCAGAGCTGCTTCCCTCTCCTCCTTGCCCTCTAGCTCAGTGTCTGAAGTGTGGGTTCCAGGGGTGCTGCTGAGTGAAGCTCCACGCTAGGCCCACTGCTCCCTCACTCCTTCTCTTTCTCTGTGCACATGTCTGAACCCCTTGAACCCCTTACAGTCTTCCAAGGAGAAGCTTTTGTATTTCTTTTCTCAACCTCAGACCTGCTCAGGGAAGGAATCTCTCTACCCAGTTAACAGAAGGAGAAACTAAAGCAGATCAGGCCTTATGTAGATCATGCAGCAGAGGGGACAGCGACAGAGCCAGACTGCTGTTCTGGGCATTTGCCTGCACCACGGCGTCCAGTGTTTCGGGAACCCACACAGAGCAAGAACACCACCACAGGTGCCATCAGGCTGCAGGCTGGGGAGTCCGGAGAGCTTGGTTGGGACTGTGGGAGCACCAGGAAACCCGCCGCCCTCTTCAAGGACTGAGAGCATCGTGAGCACAAAGCAAGATGGGTGTCAGCAGAGGTGTGAAAGCTGGAACAGGCCACAAAGGCAGGCAGGGGACAGGGTTCTAGCCCCACCCCCAGACATTGTGCTCAGTTGAGGTTACGTTTTCAATTCTGACCTGAGCTCCCAAACAGAAACATCTGTGGCCCAGCCCCAGGCCCCGGTTATGAGTTCTTTCCTCTTTTCTCTGGACTGTTGACAACTGTTTCAATTTCTCCCACCATAGCTAGGCTGGAAGCTTAAGAGAGGTCACTGTGAGTGTCTTGTTTGGAAATGACCATAAATGAGCCTGTTTTTTTGCTGAGATGGCTAGAGATCAGCAGAGGGAGGGGGTGAGGGACAGACCCCGCATTCCTTATACAAGTGAAGGTAACAGGAGACTCTCTGAGGCAGAAACATGCGTCACAGCAGAGAGCAGAAAAGGCACAGGACCCGGGGATGGTTCAAATTAGGATGCTCTTTTCTGAAGGCAAAACTGGCAGCCTATCTTTGTGCAATGTCGCCGTGGCAACAAAGCCAGGTGGCGGGAAGTCACACCGCCCTCTCCATGACCTTCCACTGGCTGGGACAATGCAGGCCTAAGATCCAGGCCCCGTGTTGCTCGTGACTCAGAGTGTGGCCTGGGGCACAGACCCCTTCTCCAGAGACCTCCCTCCACGAAAGGAAGTGCCACAGTGGGTGTTATCCATGGCCCCTTCTGTGGACCCAAGCCGTGGTCAGGTGGCCAGGTGTGCAGTGTGTTCCGTGCTGGGTTAGGGCCAGCATCTGAGGTTCTTGGAGTGTGACAGAGACTGGTTTGAGGGTAGGTAGTGCATCTTGCTTGGGTTAGAACATAGCTGATCCTAAACTTGAGTTCTACTTAATTGCAAATTCCCTGAGAGCAAGAACCAGGTTTTATCCAGCTGTTTTTCCCATGAAGAAACCCAACCCAGGGGTTCTGTGAGGCTGAAACGAAGAGGGGCCTCCAAGTTGGTCTGTCCTGACCCGAGCCCTCAGCTACATTTCCACAGGTGCTTTCGATCTAACTGGCCTGAAGTGACCTGACCTCAGGCTGTGGCACCATGGGCACCCCCTTCCTGTCTGTGTGAGGACCACTTCTGGGGAGCAGGCCATAGCCCCAAGAGGCCCGGCCCATCTCCAGCGGGCCCTCACTGACCTTGCAGGCCACTCTCCCAAGTTTCTCCCTTTGAGCTGTTTGAGAATCTGGGTAGAAAACAAAATGCAAAGCCTTTGTAATCCAACCCCTGGAGCAGGATTCCAGGAGGCGGGCTGCTGTTTCCCATTACAGCCTTATACTATCTGATGGGAGCTGGTTTGGTGGGGGAGGCAGGGGGGAAAGCCCAGCGTTCCCGCTACTCATCCTGCCGCTCAGCCTTTCCGGGAATAACGCTAGTCAAGTGTCATCATGTCAGCTGCCAGGGTGGACCTACCACAGGGACTAGCGGACAGGCAGGTGGCTGAATGCAGGGACGCCCTAGCCAAAAAGGAGCACTCCTTGCTGGGGGGTGGCAGAGGAGGGGAAGCAGCCGTTGGGATCAGGAAGACACGGGCAGGACCAGACCGGAGGCGCGCGCACCATCTACGCCTGATCTCACAAGACTGTTGGGGAGGACGGAGAGGAGTGGACACTGCCTTGGCAGGCAGCAGGCCAGTGGTTCTCAAGGCCGACCCCGGGACAGCGCACCAGAGGCACCGCAAACTAGTCACCTATGCCAGTTCTCAGGCGCCACACCAGCCCTGCTGAATCAGAATCGGGGGGAGTGGACCCAGTGAGCTGTTACCATGCCCATCAGATGATGCCACTAAAGCTGAAGATCACGTTCTAGAGGAAATCTTCCCAAGAGGTGAACGAAGACAGGTCTGCAGCCAGTGCAAAGCTGGCCGCTGTTGTCCCCCACCCCGTGCGCTGCGCAAATACGCTGACTCTCTGTGTGTGACGTGGCCAAAGAAGGCTGCGGAGGGAATGCCGGGACTCAGCTTTCCCCACGCCCCTCCTGTGACAGTGAGCAGGGACCAGAGCAGGTGATGCAGCCTAGGCCACCTGCCCCAGCCAAGGGCTGGGCCGCCTATCCAGCTTCCTCCGTCAATTCACTGTCACCTCTTGGCACATGCGTGGGACGGGGAGCCAGTCCTGGGAGAAGGGGACAGCTGATGGATGCGGAGGAGGAGCTTTGGGCTTACACTCACACTCAGATGTCTGCAGTAAGCTTCCTACCACACCAGCTCTGGGCAAGGGGCTGTGTCAGGGACACATCAGAGCCCAAAGCCGTTCTCAAATGATTGTCACGTGGGGCTGAGGTCAAGCAGTCCAACCCCTGGCCTCACAGCCAGTGCCTGGCGAGACCTACTGCGGGGCAGTTCTTGGGGAAAGAGGAATTACCCCAGCTGGGGCAGTGGGAGAGGTTTGGTGGTGAGCTGGCCCTGGAAGGAATGCAGAGACAGATGGAAGCCTTCAGCGAGGGGTCTGGAGGTGGCGGGGCTGTGCCCAGTGTGCAGTCCAGAGCCTGCTTGGCAGGCCCCCAGCAGGAAGGATGCCCTGTGGCCTCCCACCCTGTCCTGCAGAAGGTGCCGAGGCCGCTGTCACCTCCTTTCCCACCGCTGGCCTTCTGTCATCACTTTGAATGAGTGGCCCTTTGTACGTGAAAGCAAAGCGACCTGCATGTGCCTTTAATCCTCCCGACGAAAGAAAGGTCGGCACCTGACCCCACAAGAATGTTTTGTCCCTGGTCCAATGGGCATGGACAGATGGATGCAAGGACAGGACAAAATGAAGATGCCCCAACCTCTCCTCCGTGGGCTTTCTATGTTCCTACAGTCCTCTTTTTGCAGGGCTGGCCGGGCAAGGCCCTCTGCCTTTCCAGTCCTGCTCAAACCCCCACCCTGCCCCACCAGGTAAAGTGACTTGTTCACTTAACTGCACCTACTGTACATGTGTGCAGCTGCCTTGTGTGAGAAGGGGCCTCAAGAGACATTGCCCGACCATCACCACCACCTCCACCCCACCACTGGACATCTCAGTGAAAACACAGCTCACCATAAATCATGCCCTTCTCCACTTGCCCAGATGGCCACAAAATGCTCCATGGGTATAAGCCCCACACATTATGCCTTTCCATCTGTGTGGGCCTCACCTCATCGGCCTGCTTTGAACCGGGATGACCCAGGAACCTATCCCCCCCATCCCCCCGCAGGCCTGATGTCTCCCACCATGGCACCTCCCAGCTACTCAGATGGGTTTGAGAGCCAGAGGTGGGCCTGACTTACTTAGTCCTGATGCAGAGTTCCAGAGGTGGGACAAGGTCATTGTCATTGTCTTCAGGGGCTGTCTGGGTAGTGTCTGGGGAGGTGGGAGAGAGAGGCACACATTTGTCAGCCCAGGGCCCCCACTCATAACCCTGTACCCTGTTCTTCGGCTGCCCAACCCCTCTTCTCACCCAGAATGGACATGCTCCCTGCTCTGTTCAGATCCTCACCTGGCACCACAGAACCTGCCCCCCTCTCTCTCTCCTACCTCCAGTCTCTAACCCCACCTTCTTGCTCCCTTCAGCTACCAGAAAACTCTTCCTAAATCTTATCTGATCCCATCATGCCCCTCGTCCATAAGGGAGCTTCCACGGGTTCCCACTACCCAGGAAACAAAACCCAAACATGTCAGTGCAGCATTAGGGGGCTCTCCACTGTGTGTTCTCAACTCCACCTTACATCTTACCTCCTCCCTCTCTGGGTCCTTCTTTCCAGCCCTCACACTTGTCCTCTGAGTGCCCCTCCTGAGGCTGCAGTCTGCTTTGTTCCCTGACTGCCCCAGGCGCTTGCCCAGGCCTTTCCCCAGCCAGCCTGGAGGCCCAAGGATACACGGGGTGGGTGGGGAGGCGGCGCACCCACGGTCAGCCGGATCTGCTCCTGCTGGTTGGCCAGGCCGTCATAGTAGTACAGGTCGAAGAGCCTCTCGGTCCGCCAGTCTCGCAGGAGCTCCGGCTGCAGGCTGAAGAGGACGCTGAAGTGGCTCTCGCTGCACACAACCCAGATGGGGAACCTCGGCGTCTTCAGGAAGCAGCCGACCTGCGAGGAATGTGGAGAGGACAGACGCCTGAGGCCGCATGCGGTCCCCAGGAGAGGGGCCAGAGCATCTCTCTGTCCAACCCCAAGCCTGGCAGACCCAGAAAGGCCCTGGTGGGGACCACAGCCTGTGTGTGAAACTAGGGCCGTCTCAAGCTACTCACAGACGCAGGCCTGACCCCAGAGCCTTTTTCACACAGAGTCTTAGAGATGCCCGCGATCCACATCACTTGCCTCCCCTTCTTCTCCCAACTTCAGTGGCACACAGGGCTGCCCACCCAGCCTTGAACATCCCCTCACACCAGCGTCTCCTCCCCAGGCACTCCCCTAACAGGCTCTTCCCGGACTCTGTTCTCCGCTCAGTCCCACAGAGCCTCCAAGCTGCCTGCAAGCTAACCCCACACAGCAAGCGTCCTCACGGTGCACAAGCTGCCCACCCACAGCCTAGAGCGCCCGTGCCTCCCTCTCCCAAGTCACACAACCAGGGAGCCCAACGCCCACCTCCTTCCCTTCTAGCTCGGGGGAGGGGGCTGGTTCTAGGTGCCAGGTACCTACTCACTGCCACCAGCGCGCCTCAGTCTGTTGCCTACATGCTGGACTAGAGCTTCGTACCTAGAGCAAGGGGTCTAATGTAAGCTAACACGTGACAGGTGAAGGTTGCCTTGTGAGTGGACTTGTGGAACTTGAATTTGAACTAAGACTTCACCTTGAGATCAGGCGGGAACTTGGAGTTAACAAGAGAAGAGAGGGAGATACCAGGAACAAATGCCAGAGACATGCAGGGATTAGCAGGGCAAGTGGAAAAGGGAAAAAGGAGGAGCAAAAAGAGTTGGGATTTCCTTCTAATGAGGGGCTCTCTTGGACAGTTCCCAGCAGAGGACATTCAGGGGAAGAGGGGCGCTCGGTGAGGACCGGCGTTGCCGCGTTTCTGCCTGCACAGGGGAGAGGCATGACTGGGCCTCGGGGGGCCAACTCGGCACCTGGTGGCTCTGCCCCTCCCCTGGCCTGTCCTTTATTCCCTCTCTGCCTGTCACCTGTGACTCACTCTCGCCCCCCACCTTCACCCCCCCCCCCCAATCCAGGCTCACTTGGCTCTTTCTGTGTTGCAGGCCAGGCTGGCTCCAGGCTAATCCTCATCAGCCCCAGGGAGATGTTTGCCTGCTCAGGTATTTACAGCACAGCATGTGGATTAAGGAAAGAATGGGAATTATTTTTCCAGTGGGGAGAAGGGCCAGTCACAGAAGAGTGGCTGGGCAGTCTTCCTCAGGTGCCACGGAGCTGATGGGAGCTGACCATGAACAAGGGGTATCTCGGACTGAGGGGTTGTGTTCAGGCAGGCTGGAAGCAAATCTGTGGTGAAGATTGGCCCAGCGGGTAGGAGGGTGCTGTTTACAATGTCATCATCATTTTCTCCTTGTCCAAGGGCCTCACCTCTGCCCCCACCAAGCTGGTTGGGTCCTCACCCCTCTCCCAGGTGACATTAAAACTTGACTGCAGAGCTCACTACTCGGTGGGATGTAGGGAATTAGACAGCACGTGGCTGGACTAAACCCCGCTGCAAACTTGGCTTCCGTTCCAGGCTCAAAAGAGGCTTTTCTGGTAAGGGCATCGCCTTGAACAAGGAGCCTGAAAGACTGGCGATTCCTTGCTCATTCACCGCAGGAAAAAGAGCCCGCAGCAGGCATCTGCATAATCAGTCACCCTGAATTTTCCAGCAGAGGGACAAAAGGGCAGTTTGCCATTTATACAACGGTCAAAAGATTAAGGGCAAAAAACGCTGCCCAGAGAGTTTACAAATGAGCTTTGTCATTCAAAAGCCCCCTTCTAAGTGGGGCACATTTTCCAAATGAAATTTGTTTCCTCTGGATTTATGGGTAGCTGTCCAAAGGCCTGGGGCATGGAGGGAGGGTGGGGGCGCATTTCCTCCTGCACATTCTGAGTTTTTCCTGGTGGGCAATCGTGCAGTACAATTAGAGATTACTTATAAATGGAGATCTTACATCTTCTGGGCAGGGGTGAATGCCCCAAACTGGGCCCCGGACTGCCAGATGAGAAGGTCTAATTGAAAAGGATCAGCATTTGATTACAGGCCGAGTTCCAATCTGTCGTTGCTAAGGCTAATGTTCACTCCACATAAGTTACACTTTGGTCCCAGGCCCGAGGCCATAGCAGGGAAGGATACACGAACAGTCTTGTCCTCACGGGGTTTACTGTATAGACGGGCAAGACAGAGAGAACCAAGATGCATTTGCACTGCACTTTGCGCAATCTAGAATGCCATCAGACTGGCCACTTTTTTGTATCACTGCAAGAAAAAAAGAAAAGAAAAAAGCTGGCACTGTAAGACTGACATGCAGACTGTAGTAATGCACGATGATTTCAGAAATGTTTAAATAGGGAGCAAGTCTGTACTACAAAAGCAATGAAATGTGATACTTGAAGCCGAGAGGCCTCTGAGGAAAGACTGTGTGGTAGAGGGGGGCTAAGGGACAACGGGAAGAAGCCCCAGTGTTTAGAAAGAAGGATGAGGTCAGGGAGGGCTTCCCCTCAGAAAGCAAAATGTAAGCCAAGATATGGATGGAAAAGCAGAGCAGGCGAGGGGGTGTGTGGGTTCAAGGATTCTCATCATCGAAGGGGCCAGAATTTCTTCAGTCCTTACTTTATTCCAAGGGAAGGATGACCCCCAACTGCTATTCCCATCAGGCCTCCACAACACACCAAAGTAAAATAGTGTACTTTTTCACCAACGCCCATGACACAAGAATGAAACCAAGACACGTGGCAAGCCTGCGGATTCCATGAGCACAGCCAAGGTTACCTCTGTGAGCCAGCGGAATTTCAGGCTGAATGCTCCCAAGGCCCACCCGGGGTCTGACATTCTGGGGCCCTGGTTCTTTCACAGGTCATAGGGCCACATTCCTAGGCTCCCCCTGACACTAGCACACCTGGCAAAAGTCACTGCTATGCTTTTCCCTCCAAGTCTTTGAAACCTACAGATCTGGGGTTGGGGGGGGAGGGTTACCCAGAGAGGGGATCTGGGGATGGGACCACGCCACATGGCCCCCTAGTGCCAGGACAGCACACCGAGCATGTACCCCCAAAAGGCCGTGGGGGAATTGAGTCCTGCTTTAAAGTGCCAGTATCCACCTGCCCTGCAAATCCCCGTGCCCAGCATACTCTGAGCATCCCCTGGGTCAGGGCTTTGCAGCCCTAGTTCTGAGGCTCCACTGTAAGTGAGGTCTCGTTCATACCCTCAGAGCCATCCATCTCCTCTGAGGTGTGGCCGCCATATAAACAACTACACCTTGGGACACCCTGTCTCATATAAAACCCATGGCACAATGTGTGCCCGGAGACAGGGTAACTGGAGCCCAGTGGAATTCAGCAGCAGCTGAGACAAGTGCTGCCCAGAGAGTCACCCATCTGCCCCACTTCGCCTGGGGTTCCTGGCCTTTCTGAGACCTTGGCTGCAGGGAGCGAGAAGGTGAAGGGACCGATGTATTGACAGACTGAGGGAAGCCTGTTAGGGTTGAATTGTGTACCCTGCATTGAAGGCCTGGCTCCCAGTACCTCAGAATGGGTTGTTATTGGAAAGCAGGATTATTGCAGATATATTAGTTAAAATGAGGTTAGTGGAGAAAGTGGGCCCTTAACCCAGCCTGACTCATGCCAGAAGGACAAGGCACACAGGGACAGGATGGCCACACAGAGACAGAGGCAGAGACTGGAGTGCTAGAGCTACAGGCCAAGGGATGCGAAGGACTTCCAGGAAACGCCCAAAGCTAGTGCAGACGGGGAAGGATTCTCCCAGTAGCTTTCAGAGGGTGACATTCTCACGGACACCTTGACTTTGCGGTCATACAAACTTCTGCTTCGGAACTATGAGACCACACATTTCTATTGCTTTACACCTCCCGGTTTGTGGTACTTTGTGGTGGCAGCCCTAGAAATCCAAAACAAAGCTTAAGCCCTCAGAGCCACTGACCCTGGAGAAACCTACCCACCTCCAACACACACATACATGCGCATGCATGCAAGCACACTCCACAGTGACAGCCATGCTCACACCAAATCACCTCATAAGTCCCTAGAAGTTGCTTTTAGACTGTCTTTCCCAGAGCACAGCATCACACAGGATCAGCTGACTTTGGGTGTGAATTATGTGCCCCCCCACCTGATGGCTCCTGACTTGGGAGAGCTACACTCCGGGTACCTGGCACACGTTGTAGTGCTCAAAGAGAGACAAGAAGCCGATGTCGCTGCGTGCCGAGATGCCTTTGAGGAGCGTGATGTTCCCGTTCCCAGAATCGAGCTCAACCACGTCATTGAAAACATTGGACACGGCTCTCCCGGTTAGGAGCAGATTGACAAGTTCCTGTTGATGAGAGAAAGGGGAAAGGCTTGTCGAGTCTCTGAATGAGCTACTAAAGGGGTGGAAGGGAGATTGGGAACAAGAAACAAAGGAAGGAAAGCAAGGAGAGAGACCAAAATCAGAGAGGATTGTGACTTCAGTGTTCCCACAAGCCACCTGGGGAAAGCTGCCAGCTCTTCCGATCACACTCATCAGTCTTACTCCCCCAGCAGTGACCAAGCTCCCGCTGTGCACAGGGGTGTAGGGGTGGAGGTGGGGGTGGGGGGAGGATCTGTGGATGGAAAAAAGGGCTCCTGAACTTGGGCATCGAGGTCAGAGTGGAGGGTCAGGCAAAACACAGTGTAGGATGTGACTGGGGCTAGAGAAACGTGCACCAAGCACTTCAGGTCCAGATGAACATGGACCCACAGGTCTGAGTCAGAAACACTTTGTGGAACAGTAACGTCTGGGTGGGTCTTGAAAGAGGGTACATTTTTTAAATAAACTTCTATTTTTGAAATAACTTTAGACTCCAAAGAAGTTGTATAAATAGTACAGAGAGTTCCTGTGTACCCTTCACCCAGCTTCCCCCAATGATAACATCTTAGACCCAGGGCACATTATCAACACCAGGAAACTGACAGTGGTATAAGACCGATAACCCAACTCTCGGCCTGATTCAGACTTCACCACTGGTGGTGGGTCTTGAAGCGGGAAGGGAGAGTAGAAGACAGCAGAAGAGGCAGGTAGACCATGGCTGGGTCCTAGCTGTCTCTGCCTTCACTGGAGGTGTGACTTGTGCCAGCCACAAGGCAGGTCAAGCCTGCCAGTCCCTCAGTCAGGACACATGGAGCTTCTCGGGAGTTCTCCTTCAGCTGGGGCCTCCTGCATCGGGATGGCTGCCAGGGTCCTTCCTTATTTGAGGCATCAAGGTAACAACTTTCTCTTAGGGGGGAAACTGAGGGAAAGGACTTGCCCCAGCCACAGACTACACTTTACCCACATTCTCTGGCTTCCCTACCCAGGAGTACCACCTGGTTAGACAAATATTCAAGTTGAAGGGCACCTTCTATCAAGATTACCACTAAGGAAGGATTTGAGCAAGCCTGGCCTTAGGGCTTAGGCAGGCTGGCTGTCTCTCTAAGCCACCTTCTGAAGGCTGTGTGTGAGGTCAGCAGGCAGGAATCTGCCCCCAGGCACGTAGCATGGCCATAGCAGTCCTTTCCTCAGCCCTTCCTCTGGAGGGCAGAGTTCATCAAAGAGTTTTCCCCTGAGATGTGAGAGCCAGGCCCAGGGTTAATATATCCCTCCGTCAACACCAACACCCCTGCCCCAGTGACAGTAAAAGAGGCCTCCTCTGATGGCCACAGAGGGACCCCCTCATTGGAGGGAGATATCGACTCATTGTGTCCTTGCAGAGGAAATGAGAATAGAACTTGGAGGAAATGACTGCTGAGAGCTACTGCACCCCAGGGGCAATGGCTGCAAGGGCAGCCTTGGCCTTTTCTAGACAGGCTTCAAGTTTTTAAGTGGGGTTGGCGGGGGGAGGCGAAGGCTTCTGTTCCCCATCTGGGCTGTGTCTTCCTTCAAAGCAGGAAGCCTTCAATAAATGGGGGAAAGCGGCAACAAGCCGTTTCTTGCCCCTGAACATAAACAACACTGGCAAAGTTTAGTGGCCATCCAACCCCTTGTCACCCAAGGAGTGGTCTGTGGACAGTGGCATTGCCTTCCTGGGGAGCCTGTAAGCAATTCTGAATAACCCAGCCCACTGACTCTGATCCTGCTCTGAAAAAAGAGTCTCAGGGGACACCTGTGCACACCAGTGTTTGAGAAGCACCAGCCTAGTACAAATGGGGAAACTGAGGCTCGGGGCGGGAAGAAAATAACCTCAGCTCATTTCCAAATGAAGTGGCAAATACAGCCCTGAATCCAGTTCCAGATTCGGATCTGGCATCTTCTGCACCCGGTTTAACAGCCAACCCCTGGGTTGCAGCATTCTATACCTGCCCAAGGGGACACTCCCACAAAACAAGCAAACAGACAAACAGAAACAGGTGTCTAGAGCAGAGTTGAAGCACCCAGGTAGCATCTCAGCATGAGGCCTTCCCCAAGAAAGCCACCCCCACAATCCCTCGGGTGCCTGCACAAACTATAACCCCTGAGCTGGCCGCTGCATGGTGGCCAGGTGTGTTTTCAGGGCTGGCATAAGGCAGGCAGGACCCCTGGGATAAATGGAGCCTCAGCTGGGCCCAGCAGACTGAGCAGCTCTGTCCAGTCTGACTGTGCTAGGAGGCTGCCCCGGGCTGTGCTGAGGGTCAGATTAAACGGTGACCAGCTGGTCACTGCAGGAGAAGTAGAGAAAGGCAGACAGCAGGCATAGGGTTTGGCTCCCAGTCTTGGCATGTACCAAGCGGCTCTTGAACAGAACCCTGCCCTGATATCACCAGGTTATCAGAGGATCAGTGAAAAGCCATTGCACTAAGAGTGAACCCTGCCCCATGAGGTTCCTTGAGGACCCACTTGTGAAGAGGCAGAGGGAAGGGCTACACAGATAAAGTCCTGCGCAAACATAAGTGACACTACCGGCTGGACCCACCCTCCCACCCCTGGTGCCCAGGGCGCTGGGCTGGGCAACACCCGGGTGGGCTGTCATTTGCATCTCTGCCGCACCAAGCACATGCAGATTGGACACAGCAAATTCTCCAGAAACAGCTAAACAGTTCTCTTTCTGGGTCTCCATCATGGTGAAGCCCAACAGAAGTGGCACAGAAAGATGCCCAGAGAATGCTGGCAGGGTCCAAGAGAGAAAGAAAGAGGGAGCAAAAGCATCCACTGCACCCCTGACCTGCGTGCAGTATCCGTGGGCTCCAATCAGGTGGTTGGTGGGCACATCGAAGTCCTGGCGGACACTGGAAAACACAGAAGCAGCAGCGTGAGCACAGCTCTGCCTGACGGGGGCCATTTAGGCAAACTTTGCTGGGTGACCGGGGACTCCCCTGGGGTCCAGGCTGAGGCACAGAATTCCAAATTCAGTGGGAACCTTAGAGTTGTACGTCCTGTGCCCTTCCTGGAAGGAGATCCTGCCCAGAAGGGCCTGGCGCCCAGGGCTCCTTGAGTTCTGCTCACTCTACCCCGGGCAACAGCCTCCACTCGGCTTCACGGGGTCCTTTGCTGACACCCAGATGATGATAAAGGGAGAGTGACACAACAGGTAGGTCCCTGGGCTTAGAATCTAACATCCTCCACGCCATGCCAACTCTTGCTAACTAATGCTGGGGACTGGCTCGCCTCCGTCGCCCTCTCCCTGCCACCTCCACATCCCAGCTCGCCAGTCTGTGACATGAGAGGAATGGTCTCAGATGGCTCCACGAACCCTAAAATAATAGGCACCACCTAAACAAAGAACAGGCTCTCTTCTTAGCTTGAGAGAAAACCCAGGTTCAGAGGAGGCCTGGCTTGCCCAGTGGGCTGGCCCTTGGGAGAAACAGGGCAGAAAGGGGGCATGGCAGTCATCTCAGAGGCCATGCTCTCCCCTGCCCTAACTTACTGGAGCGGACCCTTGGAATGGGGTTCCCCAAAAGCCACAGTGTAAAAAAAAAAAAAATGCCCTTGGGCCCAAAGAAGTCCCTCAGAACAAAAGAAATGGATTTCTAGGACTACGCTGTTGGCGACCAGAGCAATTCAGATTAGCCCTGCCACATGGGAGATCAACACCGAGAGGCAAAGCACAAGCGAAACCCTGAATCTCAAGACCCTCCTACCACCTAGGAAGCCATCAGGGCATGATGCCCCTTCTCTGTCCTAAAGTAACTCCCTCAGGAGTGTTGTTAAGGAGTCAAGAAGGAGTAAACAGGAAAGGAGTTGCCATCGAGGGACACATTCAGAGGGTGAAGATTTCCGCCCCCCCACCCCCAGCCCCAGCCCTCCGCGATCTGCTCCCGTCTCCTGCCCCCAGCCCCTGGGGAAGGAAGAACCACTAGACTTCACAGATGTGGGGAGATGCAACACCAGGGGTGCGATGAGAAGCCAGGGAGCTGCCCCTGCCCCCAGCCTTGCCCAGCTAGCCTTGCCCCAGTGTGGTCTGTCTTCTTCATTGCCAAAGACAGCCCAGAGGTAGGACGGACTCAGCAATCACGACCTTTGTTTTTCCTCTTCGTGGGAGAGAAGAGGAAACCTGGTCTCAATTTTATGCTTTTACATCTAAGATGTGCCGTAAATCCACAAACCTAACACACGTCCCCTGTGCCCTTCCCAAAGGATACTCAGAAACTCAAGCTCCGTGACCTCTGCAGGAACAAAGCTTTCTTGTGGTTTTCAACAGGCGTCGACGGACAGGGATGGTTTGCGGCCCGCACGACAAGGCAGGCTGGGTTGGCACCGTGCAGGGGGCGCAGCCGAGAACCACAGAGACGTTGGGGTCTTTAGGAAGGGCCTTGGAGGCTGGCCCACCCCACATGGCCCAAAGGGCCTGGGAAGGAGCCGGCTCGAGGGACGAACGGCCGAGGGCAGCCCTGGGCTGGCACCAGCTCAGGCAGAAGAATTGATGGAAACACTCTCGGCGGCATATACAGCCATCTTCTGAAGAGAAGAAAATAACCTCAAAGGAGCCCTGGTGCACTGATAAGCATCGCTGGCCGCGCGCCAGCCCGAAGCTTTCAGAAGCAGTCTGATCTTCATAAACGCACAGCCTCGTGTTCACCCAGCGGGTTTGAGAGCCTGCGTCAGCTGAGAGCAGAGGGACAGGCAGAAAGGACAATGGGAGGAAATGGTAATTGCATCCTTAGGTGCAAACACGATGGGAAATTCAGAAGTGAGCTCGAATCTTGAAAGGGAGGAACATCTGTATTTCACATTAGGCCATTCGGGAGACGCCAAGGAGCAGCTTATGGCTTAAGAGATTTACAACTTTGGCAAATCTAGATGCCCAGACCTCCCTCTAGGGAAATTCCCCAGAGAGCTGAGTGTCAGCAGCCCTTGAGCAAAGGAACAACAGTCTCCGCTCTGCCCCGAGAGAAGGTAGCTCATGCAGCAGGGCCATAGCCAGGCCCTAGTTTAGGCCTGGGCTTGCTGAGTGACCGCACACCCCTCCCTTCTGGGCCTCATACTCCCCTTTTATAACAAGAGGGACCTGCCTTTGTGAGTGTTACTATGGGCAAAATTGCACCTCCACCCCCCACCCCCACAAGAAATCAGAGAAGAGCCTGAAGAATTCATATGCTGCAGCCTGCTGCAGCCCTACGTCTTAGTGCTTTTGAATGTGTTTACATTTGGAGATAGTCTTCAAGGGGTGACCAAGCTAAACAAGGCAGATTTTAGGGTAGACCCTCACCCAGACTGACGGGTATTCTTTTAAGAGGAGGAAATTTGCGGGCAGGGAGGAGCACCAGTGATGCATTCACACAGCGGACAGCCCAGCCAGGGCACAGTGAGAAGGCTGTTGTCTGCAAGCCAAGGAGCGAGGCGGAGAACAAACCAAGGAGTCCTGCCGACACCTTGATCTTGGACTGCCAGGCTCCAGATCCATAAGACAATAGAGCTGTGTAGTGTAAACCGCTGGACTCTGGTACTTTGTTACCACAGCCTTTGTGACGTAGGACGAGTGGCCTCCAACGTCTCTTCAGGTTCAGAGTCCTCTCTTCAGGTGAGCCCTAACATGCAGAGCAGCTAGGTCTCCAAAGTCATACCACCAGGGAACAGGAGAAGCTGCCTGAGCACTAAGGTCCCAGCACTTCTGGGCTCTGAGCTGCAGGATGTGACAGGTTCTTCTCCGGGACTAAAGACCGGTCCAGCCTATGGGCAAGGCGGTCCCTTCCAAAGCCTTCCTGGAGGCTGCCCACGCCTGGACCCCGGGATAATGTCGCATTGCCTGAGGAAGTGCCCCCAGGCTGGGTGATGGTGCCTGGGCCTGCCTGGCTACACATGTCCCTGAAGGTATCCTGCACTAACAACCCCTCTAGGAAATAGGGGCTCACCTGGATTTCAGATTCCAAGCAGCACAGAGTGGAGGAGCCGGATGGACTTGCCCAGGGCATGGAAAGTTGCGAGGAGGAAGGGTGTGGCCCTGACTGAGCTGTTGCCCCCTCCTCAGCATTCTGGGAACATAGGGCTAGAACCTGGAGCAGTGGCTTCTAAGTGATGACCAGGCCTTGGCAGTATCCAGCGCACCCACTGACAGAGGTGGGGACCAGACAGCGCTGGCACTGATGTCAGCCAAGGACTGCTTCCCAACTCTGCCCCCATCAAAAGCTCCCAGAGACTCCGAGAACCAAGAAACAGGACAAAGTGGACAGCAGGCTTACGGAGCCCTAAGGGTTCAGCATGTTGCTGACAGGAAAATGCCCAGAGAGAGAACACGGCAAGTGAAAAGCATCAGCCAGCTTCAGTGCCCAAAGCTGGGAGGAATGTTGGCTGCCTCCCTCCAGTCCGCCCTCCGTCACACACCTCAAGGCACAGATTCTGTCACTGAACAGACTCACAGAGGTCTCAGACCCACACACACTCCTCTCCACAGCCTCATAAAAGCACGAGGACAAGAACTGCTGCTTTACTGATAGGGAAACTGAGGCCCAGACAGGAGAAGGGGCATGTGGTCTTGTGGTCCCACACTCAGCAGGTCATGAGTTGGACCCCAGAACCAATGTCACAATGTCTGTGATGGCCTGAAACAGGTGACAGGCAGCCTGGGTGGTCAGCGCCAGGCAGCTCCAGGAGCCCTGAGGTCCCACTCCTGGTCCCCACCCTTGTGACCGGAACATAGTTGGTCTCTTCACCCTAAAATCTACCCAACATGTTGTCTAAGCATGTGAATCTGGGCATGTTGTAAAGAAGTTTCTGAATAAGACGAAAAATGTGTCCAAGTGGCCTAGAGTCAGGGTTCCGGGCTACGGCCACAGCCCTTTGCTTCAGGCAAGTCCTTGCCAGAAATTTCTCTCAGCCCATGACCTCATTTATAATGCCAGAGAACTGGAGCAAGGGGTCTCTGGGGGAGCTTCTGGAATGTGAACGAATGTGTTGGTCCATGACTGTGAGAGTTAAACCGCCAAGCCTAAGCAGGCAGGAGTTAACCTGGGAGGACCTGCCAGCCACCTCCCTTCCAACTGCCCTTGAGGGCACCAGCCGGAACATACCACTGGGCCAGTTTCTCCCTTTCCCTCCTGCCACCCCCGGCATCCAAAAGAACTGGGGAGCTGAAGTCAGGGAGTCCTGCCTGGATTCAAATCCAGATGCTGCTGCTCCCAGAGTGGCCCCGCTCTGTGCCTCAGTTTCCCCACCTGCAACATGGGTATGCCGACACCTCCTTCTGGTACAGACTGCTGTGAGAACTGAATGAGATGAACTATATAAAGCATTTGGCATTCGGTAAATGTCACTTCCTTTTTCCTACGATAACAACAATAATAAAATTTAAAAAAAAAACAATCACTGAGAGGTCACGATTCCTGCCACCTCAACCATTCGTGTCACCGCCAAGAGCCCAGAATAAACGACAGCCTCTGAGAGGTCGAAATGTAACCATGAATATTTGAAAAGGGTTTGGACTGGGGAGATATTGACTGATTTCCCAGGAGGGCTGAGAGGGAGTCGACAATGAGTCCAAGCACCTGGGTGCCAGGCCCTGATGCCACCTGCACTCTGTGACCTTCGGCAACTGGCTTCTGTCTCTGAGCTTTGGGTGCATCACCCCCACTGTTGATATAGTAGTGGCCACCTCAAAGAGCTGTGGCCACAAAGGCCGAGGCCACAAAGAGGGCTTATGAACTGCAGACAGGTTGGTGGGTAGGGCTGTTATTTCCATTCTCAAAGCAAAGGGCTGCAAAGGAAGACTCCAGAAGCAGGCCCAGGAGGCAGGGTAAGGTGTGTGGATGGAGAGAGAGGATACTCCCTGGATGGAGGAGGCTTCCCCAGCTGC